GGAACTGGCTAAGGCAGCTGCACCCTGGTCTGACCATCAGAAAGCAAGAGACCTGAGAACTAGAAAGGCAAGGCTTACGGAGCCATTTATCCCTCCACCCTACAACTAACCCCACAGGTGTTTATTGGCCAGGTTGGCACAATAAACTACCTCAGTCTATGTACAGGTTCTACATAATTAAATGCTCTGAAATTCCCGTCTTTCACAATTATATCCATAATTTGTCACAATTCAGAGTGTCAAATGCTTTTGAATAGTCAGTAAAATACAGGCTAACGTCTTTCTGGGATTTTTTTTTTTTTCCAGCTAAGATCTGTGTGACATCAGCAATAATAGCCCTGGTTCCATGCCCTATTCTGAATGCAGTTTCTTGATGTCCTGCTGTATCTGTTTTTGAATTACGTTCATCAAGTTTATGTGTGTGACATTAATGATATTGCCCTATATTTCCATATCCTGTTTAATCACTTTCTTTGGAATGCTACCTTTCTTTGGCACAAACATGGACACAAACTTGGATCATTTCCAGTTGGTTAGCCAATACTTGTCTTCCTTATTTATTTGCATAGACAAATGAGTGCTACCTATGTTGCATGCTTTTGAAATATCTCATTTGGTATTCTGTCCATTCCTGGAGCTTTGTTTTTGCCAGTGTGTCATTCAGTATTTTGCCTAGATGAGCCTTCAGTATTATAACTCAGCAATCGAATGTTTGCTTTGTTGTTTCAGCTTGGAAAAAAGGCCTGCTCTTCCCTTTTGCTTTTCTAGTTCTAGGCCTTTGGATATTTTATTATAATTCATGATACATTTACCCATTAACATAGTTTTAACTTTAGATCCTTTTTTAATAGACCAAAATGCTAAATAAAGTTTGAGCTACATCTCTAGCTTTTTGTTGATGCAATTTAGGAATACTGTATACCTATTGAAAACAAATCTTTAGTTCTAATTAAACACAGTACTGAATTAATAGACCTTATTTTCTGAAACAGTTTTTGAAATTACTGTTATAAGTAACATTTGAAACATTTACTCTATTTTCTATTAATAAGATTTTAGGACAAAGATGTCATCACATATGCCAATGAGCTTGGTTCCTTCCTCTTTTAGTTTCTATTATGTAACAATCAATAGGAAGGAAATATTGGTGCTAGAAATTAGAAGGTCTTATGATAAGTCTCAAAATTTCAAGTTTTAGGTGAGAATGGGATTAGGAAAGAAGATGCTGACCTGCCATTGTCAAATCAGGTGGTAAACATTTTCTATAAAGAACCAATGTCTTGTTTTCTTAGTGTTGATCCGCAGAAATACCAGAAGTGGATTGTTTTAAAGAACAGAAATTATTTTAAATAGTACAGTTTGGGAGGTTAAAAGTCCAAATTACGGTTTTGAATGTGTTGATCCCTACTTGTCAATAGTCATTGACTTCTTGATTGTAGCATTCCTGGACATTAGTTACGGAATCTAATCAAACGACATCCTTGACAACTTCAATCTCTTCTCCATTTATCATGATGTTGCTTATTGGTCCAGTTGTGAGCAAAGTTTTGTTTATGTTGAGATGTAATCCATACTGAAGGCTGTAGTTTTTTTTTTAAAATCTTTATCAGTATATGCTTTAAGTCCTCTTTCTTTTAGCAAGCAACAGGTTGTCTTGCATATCACCAGTTGTTAATGAGATTTCCTCCAATTCTGTTGCCCTGTTCTTCATATAGTCCAGTTTCTTGGATTATGTGCTCCGCATACAGATTGAATAAGTATGGTAAAAAGGATACAGCCCTGGTACAGACTTCTCTTGATATTAAACTACACAGTAGTCGTTTGTTCTGTTCCAATGAGTACTTCTTGGTCTATGTATTGGAGTTGGTACTTTAGAGAAACAAATCCACAGAAACTCATGTTTAAGAGAGAGTTTTATATAAAGGTTAAGTGCACATCAAGAAAACATCCCAACCCAGTGCTGCCCAAGCCCACAAGTCCAACATTGACCCATATGT